ACAGCGCCGCCGGCGACCACAGCCGACCACAGCCGACCAGAGCCGACAACGCAACCACCAGACCCTCCAACGGAGCCAGATCTATTGCAATTCCCAATAAGACAGCGCCGCCGGCGACCACAGCCGACCACAGCCGACCAGAGCCGACAACGCAACCGCCATGCAGACCCTCTAACGGAGCCAGATCTATTGCAATTCCCAATAAGACAGCGCCGCCGGCGACCACAGCCGACCAGAGCCGACAACGCAACCACCAGACCCTCTAACGGAGCGAGATCTATCGTACTCTCGGTGTGTGTGATCTCTGTGTGTGTGTGATCTCTGTGTGTGTTGTCTCAGTGTGTGTTGTCTCGGTGTGCGTTGTCTCGGCGTGTGTGATCTCTGTGTGTGTGTGTGTGGTCTCTGTGTGTGTTGTCTCGGTGTGTGTTGTCTCTCGGTGTGTGTGATCTCTGTGTGTGTGGTCTCTCGGTGTGTGTGATCTCTCTGTGTGTGTGGTCTCGGTGTGTGTGATCTCTGTGTGTGTGTGTTGTCTCTGTGGGTGTTGTCTCGGTGTGTGTGATCTCTGTGTGTGTGATCTCTGTGTGTGTGTGGTCTCTGTGTGTGTCTCTGTGGGTGTTGTCTCGGTGTGTGTGATCTCTGTGTGTGTTGTCTCGGTGTTGTCTCAGAACGAGTAGCGGGAGGAGCGGGAGAAGCGAAGCGAAGCGGGAGAAGCGGGATGAGACATAGAAAAGAAGAACCCCACACTAAGATGTGGGGAATAAAACCCAATTCCAGACCCCAAAACCAGGAAAATAACAATAGACAACTAGACGACGAGTGGCCCGAAAGCATTTTTCATCACGTAGGAAGTCAGAGTGCGACTTATCCGGTAAGCGTGCAGTGAGAAGTGTGAAGTCGAGTGAGGTGAGGTAGTGTGTGGGTTTCTGTGCGTGTGTCTATGTCCGCGTGGAAATGAGTCTGCGTATGTGTGCGTTCGTGTAAGTTGAGGGAGTGTGTGGGTGTCTGTGTGTGATGCGGCCTCCCAAACCCCCCACCGGCGGCCAAGCGGTGACAGCCCAGCTCATCGTCGTGAGCATTTGGGCTGCTGGTAAGGGGAGAAGCAGCGTGCACGGCGCCAGGAAAAGCTCACGGAAAAAAACGAACCGGAATGAGGACACAAAAGTGCCGAGGCAGGTGCGCCAGAAGTGTATCGAAGCAGTGACCTGTCAGAGGAGATGAACGAAGTAGCGCGCAGGCCTCCCAAACCCCCACCGGCGGCCAAGCGGTGACAGCCCAGCTCATCGTCGTGAGCGTGTGAGCTGCTGGTAGGGAATCTCACTGAAAAAACCCAGCTGGAATGAACACAGAAAATGCTGAGGCAGCCGCGCCAGAAGTGTCTCGAAGCAGTGACCTGTCAGAGGAGATGAACGAAGTAGCGTGCAGAACTCCGCGCACTACAGTTGTGCTGCAAAGTCGCCACTTCGCAGCTACTGCCCACTCACCAGTTCTCATCTTCCCACTCCCCAGCCACTCTGCGTACTAAAGTTGCACTGCCAAGTCGCCAGTTCTCATCTTCCCACTCCCCGGCTGCTCTGCGTACTAAATTTGTACTACCAAGTCGCCAGTTCTCATCTTCCAGCTCCCCAGCTACTCCTCGTACTAAAGTTGTACTACACAGTCGCGAGTTCTCAGCTACTACCCACTCATCAGTTCTCATCTTCCCACTCCCCAGCTACTCTGCGTACTAAAGTTGTATTACCAAGTCGCCACTTCTCATCTTCCAGCTCCACAGCTACTCCGCGTACTGAAGTTGTACTACGCAGTCGCCAGTTCTCAGCTTCCAGCTCCACAGATTGCTCCGCGTACTAAACTTGTACTACAAAGTCACCAGTTCTCAGCTTCCAGCTCCCCAGCTACTCCGCGTACTACAGTTGTACTACAAAGTCGCCAGTGCTCACCTCCCAGGTCCCCAGATACTCCACGCCCTCAAGTTGTACTACCCACTCGCCAGTTCTCATCTTCCCGCTCCCCAGCTACTCCGCGTACTACTCTCGCACTACCACGTCGCCAGTTCTCAGCTTCTAGCTCCCCAGCTACTCTGCGCACTAGAGTTGCGTACCAAATCGCACTCTCGCCTGCGTTTCGCGCACGCGACACGCACGATCTCCGCAGAGGGTTGCGCGCGGACCGGACAAATCGCACTCTCGTGTGCATTTCGCGCCCTCGACACGCACGATCTCCGCAGAGGGTCGCGCGGACAGCCGGCAAATCGCACTCTCGCCTGCATTTCGCGCACTCGACACGCGCGATCTCCGCAGAGGGTTGCGCGGGCAGCCGGCAAATCGCACTCTCGCCTGCGTTTCGCGCACTCGACGCGCGCGATCTCCGCAGAGGGTTGCGCGAGCACCCGGCGCATCGCACTCTCGCCTGCATTTCGCGCACTCGACGCGCACGATCTCCGCAGAGTT